TTGAAAACCAAGCTATTCTTTTTTTTTTTAATTGAATGGGGAAACTAGGGCCAATAAAGCTGTAATCTGGGCTAAATACTACTGAATCACCCTTCCCATTTACTTCTTTGACCCATGTCATCTATCCCTCACTTTATAACAGGCATTAGATTTTGCTTAACTTACATGCTGTGCAATCTGAGATAAGAGGAGGAATTTTCCTGGTTTGATTGCTATGGTGACACAGAGTTGAAAGAAACCTTAGATGTTATTTAGCCTAGTCCTTTTCACTTTACAAAATAAGGAACCTGGGAGAGACCCAAGGGAGTGAGTGATTTACTTAAGGTCACAAAGTAGTTGAACAGCAACTATAATCCAATCTACAGATTCCTGGTCCACTTATTCCTAATAAATTGGCTTAATAATCCTGCTGTGGATTGAGTGAATTGTGTCCCGGAAATTCATACATTAGAAGCTGAATTCCCACTGTGACTGTTGAGGGTTGGGGATTACATAATCCTATTAAGGTAACTGAAAGGTGGAGCCTTGAACAGATGATTAGATTGTAGGACCATGCAGTAGTGAATGGATTAATAATGGTGGTCAAGGGCATGGTTCTGAGTGCTTTAAAAGAAGAGCATATGAGAGGTTAGTCTCTCTGCTCCATCATCTTCTGCCATATGAGATCCCTGTGTCACTGTCACCACAACTAAGGCCTTCACCAAATGTGTTCCTTGGACTTTGGACTTCCTAGCCTCCAAAACTGTAAGCAATAAATTTTGTTTTCTTTAAATCATCCAGTTCCAGGTATTTTGTTATAAGCAACAGAAAGACTAATACATCCCCCTCAACGATCCTGGCTGCCATGCTGGCCTTGGGAAGTGGGTATAGCAGCTCTGTCAACAGGAAAACCCAAGGGAAAACACAGGTCAGTTAAGCAAAAGCCTAGTTGCTCCTATAACACCAAAATGAACTTCTTAATGTCAGAGGAAAGAGGAAAAACACATCAGGAGAACACAGAGGGCCCTCCACTTTGTCTAGTATTAACTCTTTTGGGGGATATAGATTTTGAAACAAAGAGCAGATTCTGTGATTAAGTCACTTAAGCCTTAGGCTAAGGACTACTACTGTATATGATGACTAATTGCAATATATGCCCTTAAGCAACAAAATAGTTGATATATAAGCTGGTAGATTGCCAGCTTCTAACAAGGTAACAATTGTATGGCTTTTTATATATTTATTTTCTTCCTTGCATAAACAAAGAATCTGGATACCACATATCAGCACTTCTCAAAATGGGGTCCACAACCTTGGGCATAGAGGTATGGGAAGGGGTCCCTAAGACTTTCAAAAAATCTGTGAGGTTAAAAATCTTTCATAATAATACTAAGACACTATTTCTCTTTTTCACGTTGTTGACATTTGTACTGAGGGTGAAAAGCAATTGTGGACAAAACTGTCGGCACCTTAACACAAATCAAGGCAGTGGCACCAAACAGTATTAGTAGTTGTATTCTTCACTGCCCTGCACTCATGCTAAAAATAATGTTAATTTCACTTTAGATTGTCCTTGATGAAATAGTAAAAATGATGAATTTTATTAAGTCTCTATCCTTGAGTATATATGTGTGGCCAGGTGTGCATAAAGCCCTTCTGCTGCATACCTAAGTACAATGGCTGTCCAGAGCCACAATAATCAACCACATTGTATATTGACAAAATAAAATTAAATAAATAAATAAAAAAATAAATAAAATAAAGTATAGTGTGAAAAAAAGAAAAACAACAACAACAACAACAACTAAAATTAAATAAATAAATAAAAAAATAAATAAAATAAAGTATAGTGTGAAAAAAAGAAAAAAAAAACAACAACAAAAAAAAATAAATAAAATAAAGTATAGTGTGAAAAAAAGAAAAACAACAACAACAACAACAACAAAAACAATGGCTGTCCAGAGAATTTGGTCGCTCAAATCAAAAGCACCTGTGCAACTGATTGAATTGTGAGCTGAAAATAACTGCTTTTTTCATGGAACACCATTTTTACTTGAACAAAACTGACAGACAAACCAGGGTTATTCAGACGTGAGTATCTGGCAGAAATTCTGTCAAAGATATAACAAAGTAAGAAACAAAGACACAAAAATGTAACAAAGTGACGCTGTCACTTCAAGGAAAACAACTGACAGTATGCATTGCCAATGATAAAATTCCAGCTTTCAGTGAAACTTAGAATTTTGGAAAACCATATCTGCCACTGTGAGCTTGACAGCTTCCTAATACTTGAAGACTTTTCTGATGAGATGGCTGAGAACATTAAGGAATGTGTTGTTTGATATTATATAATGAAATATGTTAACATTAGGAAGACCTGTATTACATGTGAACCGTAATTTCCAGAAGACCTATGTTCTACCCCCAAGAAGATCTATTCAAAGTGTAAGATACACCAGTAGATTTTAACGTAACAAAGTAAGAAAAATATTGATATAGTTTCAGATTCCACTTTGCAACTAACCTTTAAAAAACTATCACTTGTCAAACTTTGGTGTGATATCAAAAAATATCCATGCTTATCTTTAAAAAGTTATTAAAATATTCTTCTCGTTCCTGCTACATATGAGAGTGTGAGGTGCAATTTTCTTTATTTCCTTAAACCAAAACAGAACAGTGCAACAAGATTAAATGCAGAAGCAAATGTAGGAATCCAGCTATCCTATGAAATCACACATTAGTTTTCCAAAAAATACAAGACAATGTCACTCCTAGGATAATTATTAAAAAACAAGAAAATAAGTGTTGGTGAAGAGATGGAGAAATTGGAATATGTGGGCATTGCTGGTGGGAATGTAAAATGGCACAGCCATTTTACATAAAAATAGTATGGTGGTTCCTCAAAAAATTAAACATAGTATTACCATATGAACCAGCAATTTCCACTTCTATACACCCCAAAGAATTGAAAGCAGAGACTTGAAAAGATACGTGCACACCAAAGATCACAGCAGCATTATTCACAGTAGCCAAAAGTTGGAAGCAACTCAAGTCTTCATCGAGAGAGGAATGGACAAAATGTGGTATGTATGTATGATGGAATATTATTCGTCTTTAAAAAGGAAGGAAATTCTGACACATCTTCAACATGGATGAACTATATAAAACACTATGCTAAGTGAAATAAGCCAGACACAAAAGGACAAATATTGTATAATTCCACTTATGTGAGGTACCTGGAACAGTCAAATTCATAGAGACAGAAAAAATAGTGGTTACCACAGGAGGAAGTGACAGGGAGTCACTATGTGATAGGTTCAGAGTTTCAGTCTGGAATGATGAAAAAGTTCTGAATAGTGCTCATGGTTGCCACAGAACCGTACACGTAAAAATGATTAAAATGGTAAATTGTTATATTTTATCACAATTAGAAAACAGCAAAAAAAAAAAAAAAAAAGGAAAAAACTATAATGCCAATCTTCTCACTGATTTGGGGTGGGGAAGGATGAAAAACAAGTAGTTATTTTTTTATTAAAAACATTATTTATGCATGTCATGCATTTACTACTGTTTTGTAAATAAACTAATACTTAAAAATTTTCCCAGTTTCAAATTCTAATGCGGTAAATATGGACAGATATAACACACATAAACAGAACCTCTCAGTCCTCAGTAATTATTTTATTTTTTTCCTTTTTGGCTTTTTTCCTGACCAGCAACGGATCGCAACCCTCAGTGTCGCACCCGTACCAGACCGGGACGAGCAACGGGATCGCAACCCTCGGTGTTGCCCCCGCACCTCACTCAGCCAGTGAGCGGGAACCGGTCTGTATGTGGGATCCGAACCCTCGGTGGGAGCGCTGCCACGCTTCTCAAGCGGCGCACTAGCGCAGTGCGCCACCGGGCCGGCCCGACCTCCTCAGTAATTTTTGAGAGGGTCTTAAAACTAAGAAGTTCGAAAACTGCTGTCATATGAATATTAATTCCCTCTTCTCACACCTGCGTTGTGTGCATTTAGACAGCAATACCACGTCAGCATGGAGACTAGCAAGAAAGGACAGCATGAAATATGTCACAATCATCACATTAACTCTTTATAATTACTATTGTCCCCCGGATGCACCATAACTGCAAGGACAGAGCAACACAAAGCTCCACACAGATGAGAGGGAAGGTACAATAGAAAACTGTAAAAAACGTAAATGCTGAAATGTTCCAAAGTAGTTTTGTAGATATCTAGCAAAAAGCACACATTTCCTTTTTTTCTATTGGATCTTCATTTGGATGTACAGCTCTGGTCAGACTTGGGAATGGGGTGGTGGTGGCATTGTTTCCGAAAACCAGCGAATCCATGCCGAGAACTTAGGGCTCTCAGCGAGGGGCGTGGCTAGGGAGCTAGGCGGCAGTCCAAAGAGCAGCCGAGCTGCCCCAAACCGGGCCCGAGCAGTTTTCTCCATGTTGGGCCAAGCCAATTTGCCCCAGCAAGTGGCAGAATGTTTGTTTTAGGGAGAGGAGGAACATAAAGAGGAAATTAGAAAGCAGGGACAGAAATAAGCAGCGAAACCAAATTGGTTTCATCTTGTGTGGATGTTAAACGGCTGGAATGCTAATGGCGTGCGCGACCGGCAGATAAGAATTATTCGAGTCTACAGCTGCGGCACTTTTAAAGACAGCTCTGCAGTTCTGCAGGAGGGCGAAGGTGAAATGATCTTCGCATCCGGACCATCTTTCTGCATTCATTTTGGGCCGGGAAATTCATTTTGTGATCAGTATCGCTGACCGCGGCTGAGGCAGTCCCAAACAAAGGGGAATGGAAGCCCTCCCGAGGGCGCGGAGGAGGGAAAGGTGGCCCCAGGGTGCCGCGCCAGGTGTCCCCTCAGGGGTCGACCATGCGGGGAGGGAAGGTCCCAGGAGCGTCGTAGGGGTGCGGCCGGGAATGGCTGGGCCGGGGCGTCTAGCACGGCCCAAGCAGAAGCCCCCGCCCTGCCCACGGTCAAGGTTAACTCGCGCCCGAGAGGTACCTGTGGAGGCCTCGCACAGCCGAAAGGCACCGGGCGATCATGGGAGCGCCGAGAGGCGGGCGGCGGCGGGCGCGCAGTCCTTCGGCGTAGGGGTTAGGGGGGCAGGCGGCGGGATCTGGGCACGCGGGAGCGGCGAGTGATCCCAGCGCAGGAGGCCAC